CAGACAGATGTCCCAGACCAGATATCTATCTGTCAGAATGTCTGAATGCAATTCCATCCGCACAACTACAGTCAATATAATCAGCCAGCAGACGACGTACCTGGAGAATCATTGTTTTATGTGCAAGTCTTTCCCGACACCGTCAAGATACGAAACCATCGGTCACAGAAGCTCATTACATCCGCACTAGACGACCACCGCTTGTAATCAATACAGAGCATCGAACAGCCTCACGCGGGAGATGTACATACCAGCAGAGTGCGTGATACTTCTCCAGAACCGCATAAAACCAGATGACATGTCTTTCTAGACCTCAGATCTTGAAATTGTCATGAATGTTTTTTCTCCCTTAATTCCACTTTTTTTTATAAAGCGTTTGTAAGGAAAGTTAAACAAGAGACCTAGATAGTATATGTAGTGCTCACTTGAATATTTAAACAAGCGAAGTTGGTTGAAATATATTATCAACTTTATAGAAGCAGGCTTGTCAAGGCTTTTAAACACCAAAATCACGTGACTGTTTTGGACATGCATCTCCGCTGGACACGAAAGCGTTTGTGATGTGTACACACTACATACATGATATTAAATACTATACACCCCCAGGTCTTGTGTCCAGCACCTTTGCTTCAGTCTCCTGGGGAGGGAGTATACTTCTTTGGTTGCCAAACAAACAGTTACATTGTTATAGGGTAGGAATCCTAACATCTTAAACAAATACCATAACACAAACTCAGTCTCAGATATGATACACAACTTACAATAGCCAACACTACACACACGCAGAACAAGAACACGCATTATTCTTCTCTACAAAATAGTACACCAACAAGTAGCAATTCACACAAACAATATCATCCCACCAAAAACACGTCAAGGACACGACCTTAGTTACAGACATATGTACGCATCCAACGACACATAGACATTCTTTCTTGTCATACACCATAACACAGTGGAACCTCCTACCCAAAATAATCATCCAATCAGAAACACTAGCAGGAGTTCAGAACATGCACCACATATAACATAATCGAACATATAAAAAAAACTACAACATAACTAACACTCACTGCTTTTAACCTGTTTTAACCTATGGCAAATTATAAAAAAAATCACTGTACATAGCAACGCACTACAGCACAAGGCCACAATTCCGTATTCGTCAATATTGACCGAGGAAGGTTTAAAGATGAAGATGAAGAATCTTACACATAATGAAGTCATCAGGAGCCGGTTGGACCCATGAGGCAGCAATGACAACGTTAGAATGCGTGGGACCAATCCAGGTAAAACGAACTACATTTCATCTCTCCATGCCAGGAAATTGTGTATATGTGATTATACACAAAACTTTTCCCCCACTGGTGAGGCTGGACCCGGCCCAATCCTAGAAGCATGACTTTGATTGTCTTTTCATACACAGAAATAGCAAATTTGGGATCTCAATCATGTCCATGTTATGACCAAGACACGATGTCCCTCGGCGCGGAACTATTCTAAGAGGCCAACCATGTTGCATGGATGTATTTGTCTCTTCAAGCTCAGCAAAAAAATGTATCGTTTTAGAGTGGGAATCTTAGCTATTTTGAAGTAATGATACTGGGCTCAAGTCCCCAATAGGAGGGTTCGACCTCGGACTAATCCAGGTAGCGTAAATGTATTAGTGTTGTCATGCCTACTAGATGTGTATGTTATTATTTAGCGAGGACCTGGATCCTTTTTAAGGATCCCTGTGCACTGCACTGTAGCTATTTTTGTATACAGTAACAACCTCCCCTTAATATTGATCTGGATATAACTGTAGCACATTTCTGTTGACAAGTTAAGGTAGCTCAGTCAGTTAGAGGGACAGTATAACATTCTGAAGTCCAGGGTTCGAACTCTGCTCGAGCAGTGCCCATTTTTTTAACACTCAGATCATTATCGTTGATTACTCTGTTATTTCGTCTCCATTATTTTTTAATAGAAGCCTGACAATTTATGCTTTTCTTTTCAGAAATGATTTATCAAAGCTACAGTCATGCCGGAAAATGTTTCGAAGACATAGTTTCAATTTTCGGCAGTGGTACATGCAGGGCTCCTCAAGTAGAAGAGCAGCAATTCCAAAACTCCTTTGGCCCCCCACTCATTTATCCATACCGGAACAAGAGGCCCAGAGGGCCTGTATCGCTCACCTGTTTCTTTTGTTACATGCAACTGACATATAGGTAACTTAAGACCATTTGATAACTAGAACAAAAGACATTTTAACATCTCTTAAACGGTTCTGACGGTTCTGAAGATATTGCACTTAAAGTTGACCTGTGACCTCATTACTGTAATGAAGAAAACAATTCACACAGCTGGTCTACATAACAAACCCAAGTATCATGACTAGTCCAAATGGTTCTTAGGATATTGTTGTTTGAAGTTTTTAACATATTTGACCCCTGTGACCTTGAAAGTAGGTCAAGGTAATTTTAATGACGAAACTTTATAGCACTCCATCCCAGGTACCTACTTGCTAAATATCATGACCCTGGGCCTAATGGAACTTGAGAAGGAGATTGTTAAAGCTTTTAACCAAAGTTGACATTCGACCCCCGACTACCATTTATAGTTGACCTTTGACCTCATAACTCTTACGATTTTTTTTTCGAACTGCTGGTCTACATAACACACCCAAGTATCATGACTCTAGTTCAAATGGTTCTTATGATATTGTTGTTTGAAATTTTTAACATATTTGACCCCTGTGACCTTCAAAGCAGGTCTAGGTCTTTTTAATGAGGAAACTTTATAGCACCACATCCCAGGTACTTACTGGCCAAATATCATGACCCTGGCCCTTATGGAACTTGAGAAGAAGACTGTTAAAACTTTCAACCAAAGTTGACATTTGGCCCAAAACTAGCACTTAAAGTTGACCTCTGACCTCATAACTGTAACTGAAAAAAAATATTTGCACTGCTGGTTTACATAAAATACCCAAGTATCATAACTCTAGTTCAAATGGTTCTAAGGATATTGTTGTTTGAAATTTTTAACATATTTAACCGCTGTGACCCTAGGTCCTACAGTTCTTCAGAAGAAGTCGTTCAAAAGAAAAAGTTGACGGACGGACGATGGACTACGGACGACGGACGCTGCAGTACTGCATAAGCTCACATGGCCCTTCGGGCCAGGGGAGCTAAAAACGATTACCTTGCTGTAGTGATATTTAAAAACATACAATGTGGTCACAATCTATTATGTATATATAAATTGTAGGATTTTGAAACAAAATACTGTAATTTCTTATTTTAGGCCCTACACGTCAGTTCAAAGTTAGGGAAAACGCCCTTACAGCATTTAGTTCCCTTGGCCAAGGATGCCCCAGACCAAACTGAAGGAACATGTAGAACATCCTGTTTTACAATTTTAAGTTGTCTTGGCCAAAGGATGGCTAGACTGGTCTGAATGATTTACAACTATTTCTCTCGTTAACATATCCTCAATACTCCAGGGGTTACGCTCACCCCGTCCTCGATTCTCCAGGGGTAACGCTCACACCGTCCTCGATACTCCAGGGGGTACGCTCACACCGTCCTCGATACTCCAGGGGGTACGCTCACACCGTCCTCGATACTCCAGGGGTTACTCTCACTTCATCCTCGATACTCCCGGGGTTATACTCACTTCATCCTCGATTCTCCAGGGGTTACGCTAACTTCATCCTCAATACTCCAAGGGTTATGCTGACTTCATCCTCAATACTCCAAGGGTTACGCTCACCCCGTCCTCGATTCTCCAGGGGTAACGCTCACACCGTCCTCGATACTCCAGGGGGTACGCTCACACCGTCCTCGATACTCCAGGGGTTACCCTCACACCGTCCCCGATACTCCAGGGGTTACGCTCACACCGTCCTCGATACTCCAGGGGTTACGCTCACACTGTCCTCGATACTACAGGGGTTACGCTCACACTGTCCTCGATACTCCAGGGGGTACGCTCACACCGTCCTCGATACTCCAGGGGGTACGCTCACACCGTCCTCGATACTCCAGGGGGTACGCTCACACCGTCCTCGATACTCCAGGGGTTACCCTCACACCGTCCCCGATACTCCAGGGGTTACGCTCACCCCGTCCCCGATACTCCAGGGGTTACGCTCACCCCGTCCTCGATACTCCAAGGGTTACTCTCACTTCATCCTCGATACTACATGGATTACTCTCACTTCATCCTCAATACTCCAGGGGTTACGCTCACCCCGTCCCCGATACTCCAGGGGTTACGCTCACACCGTCCTCGATACTCCAAGGGTTACTCTCACTTCATCCTCCATACTCCAAGGGTTACTCTCACTTCATCCTCCATACTCCAGGGATTACTCTCACTTCATCCTCAATACTCCAAGGGTTATGCTGACTTCATCCTCAATACTCCAAGGGTTACGCTCACCCCGTCCTCGATTCTCCAGGGGTTATGCTCACTTCATCCTCGATTCTCCAGGAGTTACGCTCACTTCATCCTCAATACTCCAGGGGTTACGCTCACCCCGTCCTCGATACTCCAAGGGTTACTCTCACTTCATCCTCGATACTCCATGGATTACTCTCACTTCATCCTCAATACTCCAAGGGTTATGCTCACTTCATCCTCAATACTCCAAGGGTTACGCTCACACCCTCGATACTCCAGGGGTTACGCTCACACTGTCCTCGATACTCCAGGGGTTACGCTCACACTGTCCTCGATACTCCAGGGGTTACGCTCACTTACGCTCTCTGCATACCCTTTATACGTCATGATAAAATTGTAGGCTCAGTGTGCGTCACCTTGTAGATGAGATGAGAACTGAGTTTGACACTTTGATGTATGATGTTGACTGGCAATTTTGCTATGACATATTCCAGGAGTGCAGAGAGCGCTAGTAAGCATAACCCTTGGAGTATCGAAGATTATGTTTACTGTTCTTGCCTGTATCTTATTGACAATCACTTCCATATCAACAAAACAACAAAATTTCAAAATTTCTGAACCTTTTTTTAAAATTTATTGTCAACACAAAGATCACATTAATTTTCGTAAAATGAAAATTCAGTTTACAAAACCCTCAGCACATGCATTTCTCACTTTCGTAACCATGTTCATTTTAATTTTACGATATAAACGTTATCTAAAAATGTTTTCATTCTTTTAGTTTTGAATTTTAACAACTATCATTTGGAAATCAATGAAATACAAGTACAATAAACTGGACGCTTGGCACATCAGAAACGTATACCAGTACAGGAACATTATCACAGCCCTACTCTCAACATTTACACAAAAAGGACTTAGAAATACAACAGAAGAAAATATGGTATCAGTATTTACCATGAAGCATGCATGGTAGGGCTTCATGGTATTATTGTAACCAATTTGCATTCATACCAGCATAACATTGCAAAATGTTGTTAAAAACATATATTTACTTTCTAATTTTTATTGTTATAATTGATCTAAATATAGATATTCTTTTATATTTTCGATATCCATATGTCTGTGTCTTCATGATCAGTGCAAACAAGATTCCTGGAACAGCCTCACATTACCAAAATGTTTGCTTCTAACAGTTGTCTCCTGTTATTTGAGGTGGGAGGATAAGCATCAAAATGACACAGATCAAATTGCATTCAAAGCTCTATGACCACAATTTTTTTCTGGTAATGCTTTTAGAGGAACATAGAGTGAAAATGGAAAAATGATCTTGAGCATGTTCCTGAAGTTGATAATTATCTTATCTGGACAGAGACTAAAAATACACCGGAAACTTGAGTCATTTTTCCCATGTTAAACAGATCATCAGATGGAAATACAAGCATTTTTAAATGTATATATACAAAATTCATACTTGTTGAACAGAACACTTGTCAGAATAATGTCATTTTAGGAGATCTACATGGTTTTCTTAACATTTTGCAGTAAATTTAACTCATTTTATGTGGGTTAAAATATTTCTGAAAGAGCCTCAGTGATACTTGGTCATATCAAAATTTTCCAATTCCAACAGTGACTGAGTTTCACTATCTTTTCTTAACAATGTCTTGACCACTGTCCAGTTGCAGGTATGTTTATATTACGATTAAACATCATGTCCAGTTGGTCATGTTCCTCTGGTGGCCAAACACTGGTTGACCACCTCCAGGAGATGGCTATTCTCCAAGGCTGCTGTCACTCTCTCCTTATCTGCTAACTGCTTGTTGACTGCGAATAAAACATATAGTGAGTTATTACTGTGGTAACTATGTGTTGGCTGACACACACCAAGATGACCATAGATTTGTCTAAACCAACAAAGTTGTAATAGATGTGAATATATCAATACATGTCTTACACATACATATAAATCTGTGAACAAAAGTTTGCAATGATTCTCAGTTAACTTAACATATCTCGTCTAAAACCACATAGTTGATAAAAAAAAGTACTTTTTTATTTAGCTTTGTTTTGATGAACATTAAAATTACTTTTCAAAAAAAATAGATTTCTTTTAATATCACATTCCACTTAATATCACATTTTCTTCTGATAAATGATGCATGACATTAAAAGAAATGTATGATATCACAAATACATTGTGTATTCAGTCGTTGCCAATAATTCTATCAACATCATTTTGACTTTTCTTGAGCACTTATTCCCATGCAGCTATAGTAAGACCCCCTTCGCACTAACATCCGGGCCAACAAGAGTGATTAATATAAGTTGTGAAAATTGTTGAATACCTGTTGTAAAATAAATAAAGAATATATTATTTTATAAACCCTTATACTTCCCTTTAGATTAATTTGCAGTAGAATAGAAATTAGCAATGGAGATCTCACCTGCTTCCTCTGAGGCATGACTTCCAGGAGTGATTGTAACATCAACCTAAATATCACAACAAAACACGACTTTTACAAAACATTATAATCCAAGAGGTAATTAATAAAAATACACAACTGTAATTGTTGTAATTGTTGTAGACCATATCTTCTGCATCTTTTCCATGAATTTGAAGGTGACTACAAGTATATTTTCAGCATCATTTAGACACAATAATTGGATAAGCCATCATCAGAACAACATTTTTGGGGGAAAAAAATATCTGTTTGATTTAGAGAAATTATCTTAACCTCGTGACTGGTGGCTAGCAAAGATTTGGCAGAAAAAAAAATCCATCTATCTGAAGAAATCATAAAAATTATATGGAAGAAATGGATTTTTTCTTTTTTGTATCTGTTGGATTTTGAGAAAAGCTATGTCTGCTTGAAATGGAAAGAGTTACAATTGTATGTGGTGGAGAATAATAATAGAGAACAATTCATTCTGATTTTGTTTAACTTGGACCACCTTATGATGATGTTTACCCTGCATCGTGTGGGTAAGGCACGTAGAAGATTGACCCTGATAGACAGACCTATATATCAGCGTGGCCGTGCTGCAGGGACGATGTTTACCTTGAATCGTGTGGGTAAGGCACGCAGAAGTTTGACCCGGCGTGGCCGTGCTGCAGTGACAATGTTTACCTTGAATCGGGTGGGTCAGGCACGTAGAAGATTGACCCAGATAGACAGACCTATCAGCGTGGCCGTGCTGCAATGACAATGTTTACCTTGAATCGTGTGGGTAAGGCATGCAGAAGTTTGACCCTGATAGACAGACCTATCAGCGTGTCCGTGCTGCAGTGACAATGTTTACCTTGAATCGCGTGGGTAAGGCACGCAGAAGTTTGACCCTGACAGACAGACCTATCAGCGTGTCCGTGCTGCAGTGACAATGTTTACCTTAAATTGTGTGGGTAAGGCACGTAGAAGATTGACCCTAATAGACAGACCTATCAGCGTGGCCGTGCTGCAGTGACAATTGTTACCTTGAATCGTGTGGGTAGGGCAGGTAGAAGTTTGACCCTGATAGACAGACCTATATATCAGCGTGGCCGTGCTGCAGGGACAATGTTTACCTTGAATCGCGTGGGTAAGGCACGCAGAAGTTTGACCCTGACAGACAGACCTATCAGCGTGTCCGTGCTGCAGTGACAATGTTTACCTTAAATTGTGTGGGTAAGGCACGTAGAAGATTGACCCTGATAGACAGACCTATCAGCGGGGCCGTGCTGCAGTGACAATGTTTTCCTTGAATCGTGTGGGTAGGGCAGGTAGAAGTTTGACGCTGATAGACAGACCTATCAGCGTGGCCGTGCTGCAGGGACAATGTTTACCTTGAATCGCGTGGGTAAGGCACGTAGAAGGTTGACCCGGCGTGGCCGTGCTGCAGTGACAATGTTTACCTTGAGTCGTGTGGGTAAGGCACGTAGAAGTTTGACCCTGATATACAGACTTATATATCAGCGTGGCCGTGCTGCAGTGACAACGTTTACCTTGAATCGTGTGGGTAAGGCACGTAGAAGTTTGACCCTGATAGACAGACTTATATATCAGCGTGGCCGTGCTGCAGTGACAATGTTTACCTTGAATCGTGTGGGTAGGGCAGGTAGAAGTTTGACCCTGATAGACAGACCTATCAGCGTGGCCGTGCTGCAGTGACAATGTTTACCTTGAATCGTGTGGGTAAGGCACGTAGAAGTTTGACCCCGATAGACAGACCTATATACCAGCGTGGCCGTGCTGCAGTGACAATGTTTACCTTGAATCGTGTGGGTAAGGCACGCAGAAGTTTGACCCTGATAGACAGACCTATCAGCGTGTCCGTGCTGCAGTGACAATGTTTACCTTAAATCGTGTGGGTAAGGCACGTAGAAGATTGACCCTGATAGACAGACCTATATATCAGCGTGGCCGTGCTGCAGTGACAATGTTTACCTTGAATCGTGTGGGTAAGGCACGTAGAAGTTTGACCCTGATAGACAGACCGATCAGCGTGGCCATGCTGCAGTGAGGAATGGTGGGCGTGAACTCAATTGCCACATAGCCGTTGTCATCATCAACCTGCAAAAAATCATGTGAAGTCTGAAATAAAAGTGTAGTAAGTTTGGGATGCTTTACTCTAGATCTCCTGTCCCTAGCTGATTTGTCTCCCATTAAAGTGATTTCTCCTGTAATTCCCTAGATCTCCTGTCCCTAGCTGATTTGTCTCCCATTAAAGTGATTTCTGGGGTAATTCCCTAGATCTCCTGTCCCTAGCTGATTCGTCTCCCATTTGAGTGATTTCTCTGGTAATTCCCTAGATCTCCTGTACGTCCCTTACCGATTTGTCTACCATTTAAGTGATTTCACTGGTAATTCCCTAGATCTCCTGTTGCTTACTGATTTGTCTCCCATTTAAGTGATTTCTCCGGTAATTTCCTAGATCTCCTGTCCCTGACTGATTAGTCTCCCCTTTCGGTGATTTCTCCGATCATTCCCTAGACTAGCTACATATTATATATGCTTGTGACATCACCATACAAACAACTGAATGTCATCTTTTACAACTAGTAGCCATCAAATCATAGCTGGGCTGTTGGCAGAGAAAGCGTTCTCAAAATAATTTTGGAGGAAGGAGAAACTTACCAAGAGTGGGGCAAAAAAATCAAAAGTCTTTCAAAAACATTCCTGACTGTTATAAACCCTGGCAAAGCCTCTGGCCACAACATCCAAGAATTGTTAATAAGATTTAACAGGATATTAGTAAACGCCTCTATATCCACATCAATATAATTTGAAATACATTGTAAAATAAGTCTATACATAAGACGCTATATGATCATACTTCAAATCAAGATCTTTTCAAAAGTTTTTCTCAAAGCCAAATACTTCAGGAGATCAAATTACATTTTGTGGGATACTATCCCAGATATCGATTATTCTTTGAGTAAAGTGATGTTTTCTAATATTTCAATGACAATGTTGTTTAACTGTTTTTTTACTGTGTCTGTGAGTTTTCCCTTGTGCAGCAAGACCAAACCATCCCTTCCCTAAAGGACTTTGGGCGTTATGGGTCCTTTTTGGCCTCATAAAAAGTAAACAATTCAAACTGAATTTATTTACAAATTTCTGTTATAAAAATCTTATTATTGTGTTGCTATGCAGAAATAAAAGTCAAAATATGGTGTTTTTGGACAGTTAGCATGCAGAAATGAAAGCCTTGTCATGTGACAAACAAAAATTCCTTTCTAGGAATGAACACTTGTATGACAGTGTTTAAGTATGTCAAATATTTATTTGTTTGTTGCATGCAGAGGCTTTCCAAAAATTAAAGAGTGTTTAGTTAATTTCTTTCAAAATGGCCAATTTTCAAAAAAATAGCGCACAACAGACGATATTCACACATTTTATTACGAAAATCCAGGTTTATGTCTCTCTTCATTATGCCATATCTCCTGAATCAGTTGTAGAATTAATTTGAAATTTCACCTTTGCGTACTTCATTTATTCCAGATTACGAATATAACAACTAATTCTCAATTAGCCCATTCATAAATCCTACCCCTTGGATTCAGATTTCTCTTCATTAGTTAAAGTCAGGAAAAGATTCTGTTAGACAAGACTGAGCTCAATAAGCTACATGAACTTAATTGCCTTAAAATATAGATTTTAATATTTCACTAAAGGCATTTTTAGATTTTTCTTCAAGGTAAGGATTTTGTCTTTTTGGCAAAATTCCTCTCCTGGTTTGATACAAATTGCTCCACATTCAAACAACTGGACAATTAATGATTTAACTTTAAAACAGATCATTTAATATAAATGGCACATATTATCATTATTAATGGCACATATTATCATTATTAATGGCACATATCCATTGTGCATAAATTAAATATAAAATGATACAAAAGAATTTATTATGAAGTAACAATTGTATCAAAATTATGTTCATTTCTTTTCAACAATTTGGTTTTGTTCACTTGAAAATATCTAGAGTAAAAAACTCCCCTTTGTCTTGAATTATATTTGTTTTTTCAGAAAAAAAAGTGGCTTTTCATAAAACCTATCTTAATCACTGAATTGGGACCTAAACTTTGAAAACCACATAAACATTAAGTGGAAAATATATGTGCAAGTTATATTTCACATACCGGTACATATCGTTGTGTTTGGCATGCTAATTTGAACATAGATCTACTGAATGCATATAACATGATATGATCATGATAATACAACCAATGATTAGTCATTTTAACCCCCCACTCCGAGCCTCTATAGCTAAGACAAATCAATCATGCAATCATGATTTCACTCTTACATGAAAACTTTCAAGACGTGAAGAGCTGAGATTTGGAGAAAGCATGTAAGCTGATTAAACAAACAATATTACTTAGATATCTGATAAATAAGTTTTACCATAAATTCTATTACATACAATTTTTCACTCTCATGTTGAAATAACACATATGAGTAGGTATTTAGAAAATATGCATCAATCATATTTTACCTATTTTGGAGAATGTTTCTCCATTTATTTCCCATTTCAATCATCAAACAAAATAATATTGTCATCTGTCACGCTTCATGCTAGAGAAGAATTCTGAGCTTTGATCCTTGACCCAACACATGATGATCATGTCCTCTGATATGACCTTGACCTTACCTTCACTTTGGAGTTTTCCACAACATTCAATTCTTCTAAAGTTAGTGGATGTTCAGGATCATTGATATTACGAATCAGATCTATGGAGAAAAAAAAGTTTATTTAAGATACATCACTTACATATGTACATACAAGATTATGGTAGATTCATAAATTGTCCTTTAATTTGTCTGTTTTAGTCCTTTCATGGCCATGATAGGTTCCAGCATTTTTATTTATTGATCTGTAGGCCTACCTAGGCCTATTACAAAGTTACTAACATACCTTTTTTAAGATTTTGGAGTGTTTTCTTATCTTAACCCTTTCACCCCATGTAACTTAAGTAGACTTTACCATGCATTGATATGGATGTGTTCATTATGATCTACAGTGGTGAAAGGGTTAAATATGTTTAAATAAATATATATGTGTAAAGAGAATAATCAATATTTATACAGTACCCCAAACATATATAGGCATGTCATCATTATTTTTATGTATTTCTTTGTACATACATGTACTTTGCTACACGAGTTATCGACCTTGATGCATATCAAGTTCATAAGGCCTAGCTGAAAAACGTACGTTTAATAAATTAATTAACACATCTTTAATGAATCGTATACATAATATTAAATGTGACATATTAGTTATTTATCTTCCCACCATAAAGATATCCATTTCAAGAGCTTGAGACAAGTGTCAACTTCACCAAAATCCATGAGTGAAAAAAACTGCCTCGGAGTTTTGTGAAATCATAGTAATGTCTACAGCAATTTTACTATAATACTCTACCGAAAACCTCTCTGTTATCGAACTTGTCAACTATATCGTCATTTTCGTCGTCAGGAGTGGTCTGTCTTTCTTTGCTCGCCTCATAAACTGTCGGATTTGCATTGTCTAACGTGCCCGTCATATTTTCGCTGAAGTTTTACCGGAAGTTGCAATATGAGGAAAGTATAAAAAGCTAACTTATACATTACATTCGAAATGATACAAAATATTAAACAGCGATTAAGAACAGATATGATTAGAACAACTCTAAAAATAGTATTTCTGTTTTACTTTTTAATAACTCGCCTTTAAAGTGTGCTTTATTATCTTTGCTGAGGTGATACTGTACGCTCGAGTGTTTCGTTTGTTGAAGATTTCAGTTTTTGGTTAACTCGCGGGAATGAAGTGAAAGTAGGACGAATGAAGTGTCTCAACTGGTAAGTAATGTTTGCTAACCTTTTACTGTATCGTTTTACACTGATTTATAATGATAATTAGGACTCAGTAAATCTTTATAACAAGCAAGATAAGAAGTACACAGTGATTAGGACTAAACTTCGCAAGAACACAAAGTTGTTTGCTACCAACCATACCTACATACCTGATGTAGGCCAAGTAAATCAGCATTGATACATGTAGGCATACAGCATACATTGTATATGTTTTTGTGTAACCAGCACCTGTGTACCCAATCATACATTCACTAAGAGTTACTTCCCAGTTTTCAACTATTTTGGGCCATTATGCTCCTGCTGTTAATATATTTTAATGAATGTTTATTTATGACATGTGGTGATACTTTTTATAATGCTGCTTAATATAAGCCTCATTGCAGATTGTAGCCACAACCTGACTGAAACCAGCGACAATTATTCATCAAAACTGATATTGGAGTTTTATTGAATTTAGGTACATAATATTGCGCTTGGGAGTCTTAATTGTTCATCAGAAAGGCAGGATGAAACACTTTTATATAATAACTTTGTGAAAAAAGAAATATCTAGAATGTAAGAAAGATGTGACATGTGCTCCTCTCAATCTATCTTGGTCTAAGGCTCTAAATTTATTACCTGTTTTCCTGGTGTTTTATTAATCAACGATTCATTGAATGTTCTTTTTCAAAGTTCAAAACAGCTATTGATTGAAGATGACAGATACAGAAATTTCTCCTTCAAAGTCTAAAGTACATCTATACTACAAAAACGGATCATTGATGCCCTTTGAGGAAGATGCCTATCACGAGTTCAAAGGTCACAGAGACATCAGTAAAGAAGATTGTCCACCATGGACCCAGGATCGTAGGAGTTGCGATCGGCCGTCTAGACGGGCAGTATCTAGGTAAAATCATGTTTCCTGTCAGCATCAAATTTTTTGAGGTCATTATAATAAAGAATAAAACTGTTTATGAATCCTGGCAGACCCTAGTTTTCACCCCTGACTCTAAATTGTTCATGTCTTCATTTAAAAATATTTACACTTGCTCTGCATCCTTCCATTGCATTGTAATGCAGTGAGAAGGCAAATATTGTTATGAGACTATAACAACATTTACTATAAATGTAAGGTCATCAATCTCTATTGTGACGTCATCAATATCATAGTTGTCAATACTTGATTTGCTATTCAAAGAAGTCACTGTTCGAAAAAACTAAATAAAGCATAAGTACTCTATTAAAATGTAACTATGAATAATGAAAATTTTAGCAAATACTGTTATGGTCATATAACACATTTCTATTGCTGACAAACTTACATAATGCCGCAAGGTACATTTTTCTTTTCAGAAATGATTCATCAAAGCTGTAGTCATGCTTGAAAAAGCTATTTCCGATACTAAGTTAGTTTTTGGCAATGGTAGGAGAATCGTAAACTGTACATGTCATTAACATACCTTTGATGTCTGTGAAATGAAGTACAGGTGCACTGGAATAGCATTTATATATATATACTTTTGATTTATTCACTTATCCAGAGCCCTGAATGCGTTTCTCAACACGGGTCGTGGTGGAACATGCTATCTGGGAGTGGTTGACAGTGGAGAGGTCAAAGGACTCAAGCTCACAGAATACCAGGTAAAACCATTTTTGTCGACAAGGACTTTTGTATGGCTCTGTGTAGTCCCCCATTGGTATCTTGTGATGAAAATGTCTCCCCACCACTGGATTAATGAGGCTTAATTGTATGTAATTATATCTCCCCTTTAAATGAAGGGAGACATATTGTTTTAGTACTGGTTCTTCTGGATCTGGTTCTTCTAATATGGTCTTGTCCGTGCCAATGTTTTTAAACCATTAAAGAAAAATATCTTGACGAAACTGGATAAAGATATCTAGATTAAACTTGAAGCATACCTGCATCACCCATAGACAATGTGCAGTGCCGATCATTAGGTCATTGTGACCTTGACCCCAAGGTCAAAGGTCAAATATGTGCAAAATGTTCAGGAACATCTTTTCCGAGCTGTTACTTTTTAATCAATAAAGATATATTGATGAAACTTGAAGTTTAACTACATCACCCACAGAAGGTGTGTAATGTAGTGTCATTAGGTCACTGTGGCCTTTACTTCAAGGTCAAAGGTATAAAAAGTATGATTATAGTTTCAAACATTTAAAGATGTACGCCAAGGTGATGCAAACAGTCCCTCACTGTGTCTTATTTTGCTTAAACTTAGGATGGTATCGTAAACTCGATGCAAGCATCATTTGCGACTATGGGGTCAGTTTTGAAGACTTCTGTAATGGTCCCCATTACAATTAGAAATTGTTGATATATGCATTTTATAATTTAGCAGAATGCAGTTCCTCCAATAATGAAGTCAAATAAGTGCTAAGTTAAAGATATCCTGATAAAACTTGCAGTATATCTGCATCACCCACAAATGATGTACAGTACACTGTTGTTAGTTCACTTTGACCGTGACCTCGAGGTCAAAGGTCAAATAAGTGCATAGTTTTCCGGAATATCTTTTCCAGGCCGTAACTTTTTAACCATTTAAGGGGAGACACACAGTATGTTTTTGTTCACAGAAAAAAAAATCTCTAGTTATATATCATGCAGAGTTTCTGAACATTAAGAATAGAAAATTCTCACGTTGTCAAATTGGTGTGAGTTAAAGGGATTGTTTTTTGAAAAATTGTCGCATGTACATGTATTGTTGAGATGAATGTTAAGTCTCTTGTCCAAAATTCCATAGATGTTGACCACTGAAAAAAATGTGCTGCTTCACATACCTGGTAGAATGTAATTGTAAATCACTGGTTTTATGCACACCTGTAGAAGGATCATGTGGTGAGCAGTCTGGATGACTTAATGAGCAGGTACACTCCCCCAGTAAAACAGCATCGCTACAAGATCCGGTTTGTACCTGTGGTGGATCAAGATGCTACGGAGGAGGAGATAATACAGCACTGCTCCCAGGTCAACAGGTATGTCATCACAAACCTTACTCCCTGGTATGTCATCACATCCCTACTTCCTGGTATGTCATCACAAACCCTACTTCCTGGTATGTCATCACTAACCCCACTTCCTGGTATGTTATCCCCCACCCTACTTCCTGGTATGTTATCACACCCCCTTTCCCCAGGCCAACAGGTATGTTACCCCAAACCCTACTTCCTGGCATGTTATCACAAACCCTACTCCGTGGTATGTCATCACAAACCCTCCTCCCTGGGATGTCATCACTAACCCTCCTCCCAGGTCAACTGGTATGTCATCACATCCCTACTTCCTGGTTTGTCATCACAAACCCTACCCCCTGGTATGTCATCACTAACCCTACTTCCTGGTATGTTATCACAAACCCTTTCCCCAGGCCAACAGGTATGTTACCACAAACCCTACTTCCTGGTATGTCATCACTAACCCTACTTTCAGGTCAACAGGTATGTCACCACTAACCCTACTCCCTGGTACGTTATCACAAACCTTACTCCCTGGTCAACATACCACCCATTGCAATGTCATTTATGTCAACATACCACCTCAGAAATGTCATTTATGTCAACATACCACCCATTCCAATGTCATTTATGTCAACAGACCACCCATTGCAATGCCATTTATGTCAACAGACCACCCATAGCAGTGTCATTTATGTCAACATTCCACCTCAGAAATGTCATTTATGTCAACATACCACCTCAGAAATGTCATTTATGTCAACATACCACCTCAGAAATGTCATTTTTGTTAGCAGACCACCTCAGAAATGTCATTTATGTCAACATACCACCCATTGCAATGTCATCCATGTCAACAGACCACCCATTGCAATGTCATTTATGTCAACACACCACCTCATAAATGTCATTTATGTCAACATTCCACCCAAAGCAATGTCATTTATGTCAACATACCACCCATTGCAATGTCATTTATGTCAACAGACAACCCATTGCAATGTCATTTATGTCAACATATCACCCATTGCAATGTCATTTATGTCAACATACCACCCATAGCAATGTCATTTGTGTCAACATACCACCTCAGAAATGTCATTTATGTCAACATACCACCTCAGAAATGTCATTTATGTCAGCAGACCACCCATAGCAATGTCATTTATATCGACATTCTACCTCAGAAATGTCATTTATGTCAACTTACCACCCATTGCAATGTCATTTATGTCAACAAACCACCCATTGCAATGTCATTTATGTCTACAAACCACCCATTGCAATGTCATTAATGTCAACAGACCACCTCAGAAATGTCGTTTAAATGTCAACAGACCACCCATTACAATATAATTTATGTCAACAGACCACCTCAGAAATGTAATTTATGTCAACAGACCACCAACAGAAATGTCATCCATGTCAACAGACCACCCATTGCAATGTCATTTATGTCAACATACCACCTCAGAAATGTTGTTAATGACAACAGACCACCCATTAAAATGTCATTTATGTCAACATACCAACAACAGAAATGTAATTTATGTCAGCAGACCACCCATAGCAATGTCATTTATATCGACATTCTACCTCAGAAATGTCATTTATGTCAACAGACCACCCATTGCAATGTCATCCATGTCAACAGACCACCCATTACAATGTCATTTATGTCAACAGACCACCTCAGAAATGTAATTTATGTCAACAGACCACCAACAGAAATGTCATCCATGTCAACAGACCACCCATTGCAATGTCATTTATGTCAACATACCACCTCAGAAATGTTGTTAATGACAACAGACCACCCATTACAATGTCAATTATGTCAACATACCACCAACAGAAATGTAATTTATGTCAACAGACCACCAGTAGAAATGTCATTTATGTCAACAGACCACCCATTGCAATGTCGTTTATGTCGACACTCCACCTCAGAAATGTCGTTAATGTCAACAGACCACCCATTACAATATAATTTATGTCAACAGACCACCAACAGAAATGTCATTTATAGTCAATAGACCATATTGATGTAGGGAATTCATCTTTACATTAGAAACTGGGAATTGGCCTATACTTAGGTAGGTATGGGTGTGTTTAAAGGACATATGAACCCTTGTTTTGTCTCCTTACTCTACAGTATTGATTTTGGTATTGCAGTGATCTGAGCGTAATTGAGGAGAGGCAGCGTCCCCATCAGTTAAGATCTCACACCTACTGTTGGTGCGACAGAGACTCTGTAGCCCAGTTTAACTGCGTAAGTTAACCACAAAAATGAATAAGACTTCAATGTGTGATATATCTGTAGTATATCTGTATGTAGTTTATCTGTAGTATATCTGTATGTAGTTTATCTGTAGTATATCTGTAGTATATCTGTATGTAGTATATCTATGTAGTATATCTGTAATATATCTGTATGTAGTATATCTGTATGTAGTATATCTGTAATATATCTGTATGTAGTATATCTGTAATATATCTGTAGTATATCTGTAGTATATCTGTATGTAGTATATCTATAGTATATCTGTATTATATCTGTATGTAGTATATCTGTAGCATATCTGTAGTATATCTGATATATCTGTAGTATATCTGTAGTATATCTGATATATCTGTAGTATATCTGTAGTATATCTGTATGTAGTATATCTGTAGTATATCTGTATGTAGTATATCTGTATGTAGTACATCTGTAGTATATCTGTATGTAGTATATCTGTAATATATCTGTATGTAGTATATCTGTAGTATATCTGTATGTAGTATATCTGTATGTAGTATATCTGTAATATATCTGTATGTAGTATATCTGTATGTAGTATATCTGTAGTTCATCTGTAGTATATCTGTATGTAGTATAACTGTAATATATCTGTATGTAGTATATCTGTAGTATATCTGTATGTAGTATATCTGTAATATATCTGTATGTAGTATATCTGTAGTATATCTGTA